TTTGTTTATTTAGATATTAAGTTATTTAATCCAACAGGTCAAAGTGAAAGATTTTTCTTTAGCATCCAGAAACTACGGCTCCCATTTAATTTATTATTTGTCCTTTTTTAATTTATTATTTGTGATGTATGTTTGTTCTTTTTAAAAATTATGTTTCGTCTTTTTTGTTGAATTTTTATCTTTTACTTTTATTTAAGAACTGATATGCCGGATTGTTTGTATTTAAATAGAGAGGGAAATAAAGCAAAAAAAGAGGCTCAGGACCGTCAAAGACCAGGGTAGTGCAGAACAGTGTCTCTGTGTCATTAGTTCCTACCCGGACAGGATTGCGGACACACCGTTGCTATTGGATGCAGCAGCGGCTTCAGATGCTAACGATGCTAGCAGCGGGTAATCTGTCAGAGGAAAGAGAAGAAATGTCGTGAAGAAATGTTGAGCTCTGATGTTTTTAACGGTTCAGTAGTGACGTCATCGCCCCGTTAAAATTGATCTGAGGAGCTAACGTAGCTAACACAGCTAACAGCAGGATTAGCCGCCTTCAGAGTTAAACTCAGCAGTGTGGAAGGTTAGCTACAGGCAGCTAACAGCTGTTAGCTCCTCTGTCTGTGTGAACGGAAAGTCTCCGGTAATTTAACAGCACTACCGAAAAAAACAGCGTATAATCTACGGGAACCGGGAGGGACCAGAACCGGCTCGTCCTGAAGTTTAACTCGGACTAAAGCAACGTGAGTGTGGACATTCCTACAGATAACACGGAGTCAACCCGGGTCACTGCAGATTACCAGACGATTGACTGAGTCATTATCAAAGCTGCAATTAATTAATCAATCATGGACTGATGCTCCATTGATCAGGTATAGGACCTTAATAAGAACCTTTGTGTTGCCAGGTTCCTGCACCAGAACCAGAACCATCAGTACGTCCTGAGGTTTCAGGTCTGTGGTTAGAAATGTTAGTGTGATGTTCATAAAGGGTCAAAGGTGAGTCAGTCACCTGACAGTGGACCTGTCATTGGGGTGCACATGAGAGCGACCCGAGCTGTGCCGAGCCAAGCCCCTCGTGGTTCAGCAGCTGAAAAAACTCCTACAGGAAACACTGCTGATTATTATTGTTCTTAAATATTCACATTATTAATGAACTACTTTAATGTTCTGAGGGGGGCAGTGAGTCTGTGGGACCAGGTCCAGGTCTGAGGAGGAAGTGATGTCACCAGGATTCTGTGGTCTGGTTCTCACAGACCTGATACCTGAGTCTTTATAGTGGATTCAGTTTAAACCCTGACCCGTTCTGTTCCTTCAGGTTCTGCTGAGGATTTAGACTCACCAGGTGTTTGAACATGACTGAGAGAGACCCGGACCTGAGCTGGTCCAGACCGGGCTGGAACATTTCCCTCTTCACCTGTCTGGTTTATGGAGCGCTGACACCAACATGTCAGACTGTGATCCACCGGCTATAGAGGAACCTGGTCCTGGTTCTCCTGGTCCTGGTCGCCCCCCCCTGGCAGAAAAGGCTTTGTCGGAGTCTTATGCCCAGCTGCGGTACCGGGACACGTCCCTGCTGATCTGGCAGCAGCAGCAGCAGGAGCTGCAGGTGGCCCCCCCCTCCACGTTCCTGAACCGCAGCCAGTCCACCTGGTACAGCAGCTATGGAAACCAGGCCGTGCTAGTCCGGGACAAGAGGGGCCTGGAGGATGCTGAAGGCCGGTCCAGGATCTGCAGTGTCATGTAGAGTGGGAACAGAGACCCGGACCACAACAGACCGGTTTAAACACTGAGATTCAGACTGAGCTTTAGAGCAGCGGTTCCCCACCCTGTGGTCCGGGGCCCTCTGGTGGTCTGTGAGGGTCCTGCGAGTGGGCCAACAGATTATTAACAAAACTGAACAAATTGGTAAAACAATGTAATTATAAAACAATGTGTACATATATAAATAATGTTTCTAAAAGTCTTCTAACAAAATGATCTTTAAAATTTTCTTTCGTTGTTTTTATTTCTCATATTAAAGCTGCGTTCAGCCAATGAAGATGCTGGGCGTATGTTCGACCATCATCATTAAAATAAAATGTGCTCTGAGTGTCAGTTGTCCCCCGGAGTGTTACAGGGAGGTTTCCTGATAAACAAACTCCGATCTGGTTCTTTGTTGTTGAAACATCTGCCCAGTTTGAAACAGATGTTCTTTCCTGTTTTCCTGGATGGTGAACTAAATGAGTTTAAATTGTGAGACTTTTCACTTGATTTTCTTTTTTAATCACAGACCAGAAACTGTTTCACAGATTAGAGTAACATTCATATAAAATCTGTTTTAACAGAAGGTGTTTCTTCTTCATGACCTTGTGGAGTGTTGGGAGCCACTGATAATATCCATCCTCTTCACCTCTGTACACATGCACACGCTCACCTGTTAGATGA